TAGACATGATCCYAAGAATTGRCTGGTGCAAGTACGTGTATGATTGCATAGGTACGAGCAAGTTGTGTTGGAAAAGAGACAGTTTTCTGTCATTTTACGCAGGCCCTCTAACATGTTTAACGGTAAGAACGTTGATCCTTGACAATATATAAATAAACAGTGTTTGTTATTATTCATTCAACTGCTATGTTTACTTTCTGCAGATGTTATATGTTCAAGCAACAACATGTGACGGCATTCAGAACCAACATCAAGCATATCCATTGAGAACTTGGACATTGGATTTACTGAGGAGAAGACAAGACTTGGAGCTTAATAGAGGGGGGTTTTGATACACAAAATTGACATGTACTAAACCTGTTGAGCGAGGAGCGTATGATCAAACAACCATAGATCATCACACAGCAGACGATAGACCTGAGTCTAGCAAAGCCAAAGAAGCAGAAAATCAGAATGTGACTAAAGAGTTAACTTAAATAAATTGATTCAATGTTTGTGCTACTTTTTACGCATGTTCTTCTGCTTTCATATTGTGCATAATGTCTTATGGTCAGCTGTTGTTTTTGGCCCATCTATGATCACATAGTAGCAGCTGATCCGTTAATTTTTTGGTGCGTAGATATGTGTTTGGATATGGGCCCATGTATGAACATATATTTAAGTATGTACATACATTACAAAAAATTATAAAGATGTTCACGGTGGTTCATCCATGGTCCATGTATGCACACAGATTAACGGATGACAATGTTTTCTTTTGGGGGGTCAAAATATGTGTATGAATATGTGAACCTTTGTCAATACGGACTGTAAATGTGTGTTCACAATCTGCGTAAGAAATCATAATTCGAGTTTTATGCAACTCTCTGCTTCATTCAGCATTTCCACTTCACATACAGATGTGTCTTTTTTTATCGTCAAACACACAAGATTGACTTAATTATATTTGTTGTTTGCACATACCACATTGTTACGTATTTTTCTTGCTTTACAATTTGTGCATGGGTTTGCAGGAATGCATCATAATGATGGGTGAGCGAATCGCGGATCTCCGTTCTTCAAGGACGAAAATAGACACGTTGCTGCAAGCATATGTCGAACGTTTTTCCGGTGACAGATGTTTCAACCAATTCAAAAAGGAACTGGCAAGAATGTTCAAAGACAGCATATGGGAGACCCGACAGGATGAAGATCAATGTAGTGACAAAGGATTGGCGGTTGTTGATGTAACTCCTCCTAAGATGACGACCACATCCGATCCTGTGATGTTATCACCGTTATCACAATTTTGGACGAGCCCCACCGTGATTGTAGAGGTTGACCGGGCATCAAACGAGAGAGCTGCTATCACAGCAAAAGGAGTAGGATCTAACACAGACCCGAAGCTGTTGGAAAAGGTGAAGATGACATCGTTAGAAGCACAATTAGAGAGTGTGGGGAGGGTTCGAAGTAGAGGCATAGATGAATGTGAAAATCGGGCAAGTAAACTGCGTAGACGTTCACAAACAGGTACTTGATATGTAGGTTTTTTCGTGTGTTAATAACTTCACCTCGTTCCAATGTTTATCACATAAATAACAAAGTTTTTAACACAATGATCATCACTATGTCGTATTAGAACACCGTGTTGACGTTGGTTCATGGTTGGACAAGATATCAACACAAACTAACAGCTGCTACCTTAATTTTGTGGGGCGTCTGTTGAGGTGAATATATAGGCCAAAAGGAATGTTTACACGGCTTCATAATAACAATTCTTTTTTAATTTATTGAGTTTATGTGGTAGATATGATCATGATGGATTTATGCATACATATTGACGTTGGTCCAGCCATATATGAACACAAATTAACAGCTTCCACAATAATTTGGTTTGGCGTATATGGTTGTGTATATATGGGCAAAAGAATGCACATTTAGTACAAACATGAACAGCTGTTAATTTATGTTATTGTCTTGTCCACGGTGCGGATTTATGAGAAGGTGCATATGATATGATCATAAGCGCACACACACTAATGTTTCACACACAAAGAAAGGGTGCACGTAAACACCAAAGTGTTTCACACCCCGTTCATCACTAAATCATATAAGAACGTCGTAGTGATATATCAAACAAATAACACCCATTTTATAAACACCATTTTGCATGCGTGTACACAAGTACGTATACGAACATACATGCACATATATTTTATGCACTGGCTACCATCATTCGTGTAACAACGTCCAAGAAATTGATTCGTATGCAGGTATCGATGCACCAGCTTTCTATTTGGGAATAAGTCCCTCTAAGGAAGATGTCATTGCTTGTGCTGGTATTTCGAAAGCAATAGATGGACACGAAAACGTCATATCTACAATGCCAAAAAGAGACCTGAAACTGAGCTTTAAACTACGTTCACCTTATGTTACGCGTGCGGTTACGTTCAAGGTGAGTAGTGACGAAAGAAAACTACAGGATTGGATATTACGAGGCATAGGCGGAACTCTGTAAGTTAAATTGTCCAAATTTTAAAGGTTATTTTGTACAAATATGTGTTATTGTCAATTTGGATATTACTACCTAACGAATTAAACATGTAGTGAATCGGTTTTCATGACAATAAAAGGGAAGACAGTGACACGTCAAACAATGCAATCCCTTGTATCTCAAAGCATGGTTAGCACAGAAATTATAGACGTGTGGTCGATGGTTCTTAACAAAAAGGAGAGGTTGAGGAGCAATGAGTCTCCTAGGTGCTACTTTGTACAAACGGACATTTCGGTAATAGTATATGAATGAATGTCGATATAATTGCCATATAAATGAATTGTAGTCTATAATTAATCGTATTCGTTTGTTAATAATTGCAGATGGATGCTATTATTAGGGATGAAGATTTGAATGTTAACCAGAGGTATGATAGATTCCGAAAGAACATCACGAGCTGCATGAACAATGATAAATAATTGATCAGTATGCGTAACATTGATCTAGTAAATCTTTTAACTTCGATCGAAACTGTACGTATGCTATTTAAGCATTAATCCAAATAGTATCAACTAGATACAGCTTTTAAAAATTGTAGGTCTTCTTCCCGGTTGTAGAACCGTTGTTCTATTACGTTCTAGTATTCAATCTGAAGCGCCCATCAATAGCCATATTAGACAGCCAGACTCGGGATGGAAAAGTGGATGATATATGGCTCGAGCACTGTAGGCTTGGTAAAACAACTTAAAATTTCTTTTTGTTATGATCACTATGGACATATATTTATCTTTTGCCATTCTTTATCATGTATGCAGCAATATATGATGATAATGCACCTACTAAAAGAGGGGCACGGGGCGTGGAAAGTGTATGCTGAAATGGATCAGGACCATATCAAGACACGGTGGCAATTCCGAGAGAATACCGTAGACCCTGGTGTTATGTTAATGCGGCACATGGAGACATTCTTTGGAGGAGACGTAATGAAATGGGAATGTGGGTTGTATAAAGAGAGTACGAAGCAAAAGAGACAGTTGAAGGATCTCAGGACCAAATATTGTTCGAAGATGCTACTAAACGATGAGAACATCCTAAGACATCTACAGTATCGGATGTAGAAAGGTTCATTGCGATGGAGACATCGTACGATGCTAGGAAAAACCGTGGTGCACGACTGATGAGTCGGGGGAAGAAATAGATGTTTGCTTATTTTATCTTGACACATTTATGTTAGTTGGTTTTTCGTACCACTTACCTATTGGATATTTTTGGTAGCGTAACGTTTTCAGACATAAACGCACGTCATGTGTGTTCATACATTCTCCGTATTTGATTAATCAAAGCTTTTTTTAGGCTTATTTTTGCACCGTTTTGATATCAACAAATTTATATTGCGTTATCGTGACAATGCACCTCGCCTGACACTGTTTCACCTTATAGATTGTAGTATGACATTCATTATACTGTATGTAGTGTAAAACATTAAGAACTAGAATTATGCTTAACAATTCATTAGGCATATCAAATTATGACATTATCAGTTGAATGATTGTTGTGCACGAACAAAAACAAATGATAAACATTAGTGAACATCAATGGGAACCTGTTTACCGTGTGTACAACAAAAAGTTGCATATCATTTGATCCAATCACACACACACACACATCTTAATGGCATTGTTTTTCTTGCTGTGTAGTTTGATTGTTATTTACCAGCATGTTTTTTTTTTTTGTCTAAAACGGTGTAAATGGTATTCTCACATAAGATTAGTACATTTTCTGGTCATCTGGAATAACTTGATGGATCTAATCCAAGTAAATCAGCAACAAGATGTTTGGCAAATATGGTTAGCCATCAACAGTAAGTGGCATGGTTACTTGAACACTACATCATAACTTMAAACAYACATACTAGMATAAATAATACGAACGAACATCATACAAATAATATACAAAATCAAGTTTCTGTCAAGYARTATCAACTTCGGCATTTATTTTTGTAACAAATCAAAAGCTTGATAACCAAAAGACAACAGTTTTATTGTCAAGACCCTCCGAATACAAGAAACGTCAACATATGAATCATACCRAACAATACAAAAACATGACAAGATCGGATGAAGTTCAATATTGTTCACGAAAACACTTACCAAATCATATATTGTCGGTAAGTATGAACACCGCACTTACGGTGGTTTTATTACTTAGTCTTGGAAATAACAACTAGTGACTAAGACATTTGTTAATAAGTAATAAAACGAAAAGTAGACGATGTATGTCAATCATAATATAACATAAACCGAAATCGGCGCATGACGAAATGTAAAATTGACAAAAACGAAGCACCACTAAAATGATGATATTTCCAGTACTTGGACAACTGATTACTTCAATTCGGGGCAATTGCGTGAGTCATGTCCCGTACGTTGGCCACATGTCGCACATTTTCGACGGGTTTTCTTGCTTACGGACTGTATTTTCTTAGACACGCTTACCAACCTCTTACCAGTACCACAACCCTTGTTCCTTATTCCAGATGGTGGGTGGAAACACCAAGGTGATCTCTGATTGCATCCAACTTTTGTTGGGATGGGTCTTCATACGGTACCTCTTTCTCGATATCAACCATGAAATTGTCGAGATTCTGCTCCAATCTAGTCAGTATCGATTTACCATTCCGGGCGATGCTTATAATGTCGTCGACTTTGGAGTATACATCAATTATAGACTTATCCTTCTCCGCATCCACCTCACCGTATCGAACCCTAGCGGATTGTATCTGGACAGGGACCAAATTTTGTTTCCATAGACGTAAAACGTATTGGTTCGGAATACTTTCAACTTCGTCGTTTATTAGAACCTTAAATGCATGACGACACAGATACCTGTTACGCGTGAATAAATTGCACTCGCATTCGACCGTGTTGGCTGGGTAGTTTCAGGAGACCTAAAATAGCTACATTAGGTTCCGAATAAACAACAGCTTATATTGACCGAAGAATTTAAAAGACATTAGTATCTATGTAAGGAATATAGTACCAGATACGTGGTGTTGACAAACGATTTCTTGTTCTTGTGGCTTATAATGAACGTTTTGAGATCATCCCGACATTCGACAGTCTCTATACCACAAAACCACACAGCCTTTTTTAATTCCTTTTGGATGTCAAATAACACATTTCGACTATATACCCTTACTGCTTGACTTTATAAGCGCAATAGAGTAACCAACTTTGGATATGTTGTCCTCGTTATTGTTTCATGCACAGCTTGCTTGTACCTTTGTTTCTCTATAGCAACGTCATAATTATTAAGGAACTGAACCAAATCAAACCAGTATGATTCGTATATGTTAATATACGAATTCGAACTCTCGGATCTTGATGTTGTTTTCATAAGACCAGACATCGGTGTGTCATTATAATACGCCGGAATCTATGATGCGCGGATTTCATACATTTATGTGAACCACGGATCACCACCTAAATTGTATTGTTCGATCATCTCTTGCCACTTGGTCTTGAATTCCGATGGGCCAATATTTATGTTCCACACGAGCTTGTTAATAACCTTATTGAACAGAGGATCTTGATTTAGGGCGACACTGACCTGCGGACGTATCAATCACAATATGAACCTATGAACAGTGTCATTTACTTATGAAATAGAGTTGTTTATTAAAGTGTACTTACCTTAGAAGGCACTTTCTTCATTATGTGCCACATACATAGTCGGTGATTAGCTTCCGTAAACACCAACGGGACGGCTTGCTTCATCGCCGAACATTGATCCGTAATCACAAAAACTGGTTGTTTGTCATGGCATTTTAGGAAAGCTCTTAGAACCCATGTAAAGTTTTCAATTGTCTCACCACTTATTAACGTTGATCCGACGACAACCGAAGGTTTGTGATTGTCAACCGCCAAAAAGGGAACAAAAATCATCGCATGCCTATTAGGTAAAATAAAAGTTATAATAAAATACCAACGAGTACCATACATCAAAAAAACTGATTGAACTTGAAAATCTTACTTGTTGGTGCGAAACGTCCCGTCGAACGAAATTACATCCCCAAACTCTTTGTAGTTAACTCTAGCGACCTCATCTGCCCAGAAAATGGCACCCAACTCCTGATCATTGCACTTGTACTCGAAAAAATACCCGGAAACAATATCTCGCCTATTGGATAGTTTATTGATCAACATCTTCGCATCCTTTATCCCAACACATGCAACTGCATCTCTCTTGAAATTCTTAAAGTCGATCTCAGAACATCGATTGTGCTCAAACCCACCATTCAATGCCGTTTGTATATGGTGAGCCATAATCGCACCGACTTTGTAGCTCGAGCTATTCAGGACAATTTTGAAATCCGTATACTTCATCTGTCTATTTTTCCTTGAGAAACGTCGATCGTTAGTATATAATAGCGCATGATTATGTGCCTCGACAAACTCATATATCTCGTAACCGGACTTATCCTTTTTCAAATGGATTTTTATGCATGCTAAACATCCACAACATTTAAGGTTTGTGTTACGGTATCTCCTTTCACCAGACTGAATATCCATGGAATCAAAAAACTTTGTGTTTGGTGTTCCCTCCCTATTACATACAAACCATCTTGTTTGTATGTCCTCGTTCTTGTTTGTTTTTTTGGCATGCAGACGAACATCAAAACCAGCATTGTCCACATATGTCCTATACATCTTTTCCGCGTCATTTATAGTTAAGAATTGTGAGTTGATCTTTGTTTTAAGCTCGTCATCAACCTTGGGGATAAAAAACTGATTTCCTTGTTAACACTCCTCGACAGCGTACTCCGGTTCATGTTCTGATATTGTAAGAATAGGAACACCTGTTGATACAATAATATCTTGTAACAAATAATCGTACGGTGTTCACATCTTGTGTTCAATGAACACACATAGGTAAACAATTGGACGATGAATATGATTAACGTAAAATAGCAGGATAACATGTTAAAATGTACATACTCTAATGTCATGAAAAAATTTGGAAAGATGTCAATGTATGACGCATATAAACACATTAATAGATGCAATTAACCACCCAATAATATGAACAATTGCAAACAATTGGAACACATCATGGAAAAATCGCAAATAAAAAAATTTGATGTAAATTTTTCAAAAAAAGACCATGAACGAATGGTGAACATAACAGGAACCATATGTATATGTGCATCTACACGGAAAAATGAACATGAACATGAACAAGAACCATGTATCTATGAACATGAACAGGAACAAATCATGAACGTGAACAAGAGCCATGTATATAAACATGTATGTTGACATTACCAAATGAACGAATGGTAAACATGAACAAGGACCATATATATGTTCATATGAACAAGGATTATATATATATATATATATATATATATATATAAACATGAACAAGGACCAAATATAAAGGCATTTTATAATTAGTTGACCACTCGTAGTTAACGATTTTCATACGTTAGATGAAAATTCACCATGGTGAGAGAATATCATAGAAATAATATGAGATGGACTATAAAAAACAAAACACATCGTAATGAACATACTTTCGATCAATATGAATCTAAAAAAAATTATTACCAAGACATTCAGTTTGGTTGATTTCATGATTTTCCGACCTCGAACTCGGATTGCCTTCATAAACCATTGTAATCTCCGCGGTGTTGTCGATTTCTTTTCCTTTACGTGAACAAGATATGAACATAAAATGCATTTTATAATTAGTTGACCACTCGTAGTTAACGATTTTTATACATGAGATGAAGATGCACCATGGTGATAGAATATCATAGAAATAATATGAGATGAACAATAAAAAACACACCACATCGTAATGAACATACTTTCGATCAATATGAATCTAAAAAAAATAAAAATCTATTACCAAGACATTCGGTTTGGTTGATTTCATGATTTCCCGACCTCGAACTCTGATTGTCTTCATAAACCATTGTAATCTCCGCGGTGTTGTCGATTTCTTTTCCTTTACGTTTATCCATATTAGCTTGATCGACGTCGAATATCATTACTATCGTGTTTCTTATGTCATTTAAAACTCATACAATAATGAGCATGGAAGATGAATACTAAAGAGAAAGACATTAATTAAATGAATGATTATTTTTTGGGATATGATTTTTTGTAACATCATACAATAATGAACATGGATGATGAATACTAACAAGAAAGATATTAATTAAATGAATGATTATTTTTTGGGATATGATTTCTTGTAACCCCCCCCCCCTCCCCCCCAACAATTAATTGTTTGGGGGTTACATATGTAATCAAATTACTAAAATACCTTTGGAAGTTAAAAATGAACAAGACATCAACCTACAATAATGAATGAATTTGATTGGTTGAGAGGGTTTTCAAAGTTAACACAAAATTGTTGGTTAACATTTGATTTTCCCTCTATATATATATATATATAGAGAGAGAGAGAGAGAGAGAGAGGATCATATGAACAATTCTTTGCGAACTTTTTTCATCTCATGAACCAACTATATTTGCAATGGCCCCCCTCTCTATTTATATGTGTGTAAATGAATAGTACCTATCTCATAGGTATTCCGTAGAAAGAGTGGCCCAATCCGAGGATCTCATGTCTTCTAAAATATATTGTTCTTCTGTACACAACCATCATGTTGACAAGTCTCTACTTGTCAAACATGTCCCCCAAAGAATCTGATTCCATAAAAACGTATGGAACAAGATTCAAATAAGAAAAAAATAAATTAAACTCTTTTAATTATTTATTATCCTTATTCATATATACATTTTATGTGTATGACCCATTAGGACTTTATCACGTTGACAGTAATTATAATCTTATTTATAATTATAAACAAAGAGAGACATTTAGTAATACATCATCGTTATCCAAATGATAAAGTTTGATGATTCAGCTAAGCAACAAACCATATGATCATTATCAGTATAAAAATTTATGTTCATTTGGTTAGATATTCAGTATGGACACGAGGCACCATGTGTCATCCTCGTTATGTTCCATCCTTAGTTTCTCGATTCTAGAATATATTGATAAGACATATATCATATCCTATACTGATTATCAGTATGTTATATTGGTCATCTAAGTATGCATGCACCTTCTTAGTACTAACAATCGAGGGGCCCAAAGGTATCACTCTCGTCATACAAGAGGAATAAATCTTATTTTTATCCATTCTAGTACTTCTAAGTGATATATAATATACCAAAAACATTTTGTCATTCAGTTAAGGAATGATTAGAATCAGTTATCAAAGTACATCACTCATGCAAAGCAAACTCCATGATATCAAGTCAAAGGACTAACTGTAAAATGACCACATGAGAAACGTCTATGACACTCATATGGTATCCAATGATAAGTCATGTCCAGTACAAAGATCCCATCTTATACCCATATGTGGATTTTGTATCTCTATACGAATCCCTGCATATACTAGTCGTACTGTATTAATTCAACCTAAACCCAAATCAATACTTGACAAGTGACATTTTAGAATACATTATTCTAAGGTTATTTTTACATTTAGATATAACGCAAAATATTCCATAAACAAAATAATTGGGCAATGCCTTTCAATAAATATAATGACACAATGTCCAAACAGAATCACCCAATGATTGGCTTTTGGGCATATACTTTAGCATCTGTTACCCTCAAAGATCAACATCTTTGTTATAGAGCTCTTACGGAAGGCTTCCATATCGGGTGGCTTTGGGAGATTGTGGAATTAATTTGGATTCGATTCCTTGTCTGATTTGTAATGATTTGTAGGAAACTTTGGACCATTATCATGTGGGTTGCAAGTTTGCATCAGAAGTTTAGGAAAGGATTTAGAAATGGTAGGGATTCGAGTCCATCTTAGGTAACACAACATCTCTCATTCTCAATCACACCGATAGCGCTTATATTTTAGGTCCGTTCTGAAGGTTTTGGCAAGTAACGATTTACCCAACAACTTACTTGATATAACAACTTGGTATACCAAAACAAGTCACTTCTGCAGAGGTTTTCTTCTCCGATATCCAAGTTCATGTGTATGATTCGATCTCGAGACGTTCCCGTAAAGATTTTATCCCTTGGGACAGTTGGTTGACGGTTTTGCTCCAAAATCCTTGTTGAGCTTCTCGTTCCTCTCGGTTTCTCATTGGTTTGTTTTTTAGATTATTGGTGTTTCTTTGCTTTGTTGTGTAACTTTTTCTTCTCTTTTTTGTTTTGTTCGTCCGTGGGTTGGGTCTGCTTTTGTTCACTGCATCTAGCTGCTTTCTCAAATGTGTGACTTTTGTTGCTTTTTTAATATACTTTGCTACTTTCCAAACAAAAATGTTTGATAGTTTATCTATTAATACTTTTTAATATTTAATCATTCAAAATGAAAAAAGATAAATGCTTTTACATTAATATATATATATATATATATATATATATATATTATAGCATCCACAGTGATAGAACCTCCAAGAACCTCATTTACTATATTTTTTTCATTGTCACCTAACAAAATAAGATTCTCAATAAAACTCCATAATGAAAGTTCTTACAAAAATCTCAATTTTCTTTTCTAATTTATGTAATGTAATATCATTTATATATTATTAT